GCATGCTAAGTTAACACTTGTACTTTTCCCAAATAGATCTTCTGCACTTCATATGCTTGGCTTGTGTTCACGAGGAATACTCATTTTAAAAAAATTCTTGTGTTGTAGCGTCAACTTTACAGTTGTAAAATTTGATTCGATACTTTTCGGCGTGTTTATCAAGACAGCATTTACTTATTTTCAGTGACTAATTCCGCATTTAGTATATGTGTATGTGTATATGTATATGTATGTTATATACATGTACATCCACACGTATATGTAAATAAAGTATATTTAACGCAGGAGAAGAATTATAAATGGGATATCTGCAACATGCTATCATCTTTACAATCGCGTGGATAGTGAATCTTCAGACTGTAAATGGAGGTAAATCATTATATACAGTATTGATAAACAACAAAATATTGTGTCCACAATGCGAGGAGCATAATTCGTTTGAAATATTTTGTCATTCTTAAATTTAAATCTTTATGTAAAAATCCAGCAGTAAAGTTTTTAAAGAAATTAATATTAAAGTAATTGGTGAATTGAACACACGTTAAAATTATTAACCGTTTTATGTACAAAACTAAATTGTCAGTTCAGTTGTATTTAATCTAAAAATTGTTGGTTGAAGTGAAAATATTGTAACTGATAACGTTAGTAGCCACAGTGATAGAGGAAAGATGCGTTTTAAAATAATTCTGAAATGCTAGATGTCTAAGTATCGTCGTATGTTTAAAAAACTAAACTAAAAGTTGATATAGACGAAACTTGCCCTTGTGTCATGGCCAGGAGAACGCAGAGCACGTTCCATTGGAGTGTTGCATGTACAATCAGGCTCGATCTAAACTTTTGCTCAAGTACACCCGACTCAGACAAAAACTGTTTAGGTTGCCCGCATATATGGAGACCACATGCCTGTCTGTCCACAAACTTGGACTTGTTGTTTGAATCCTATGATATAGAATCTAAGCATAATTAAGATCGAAGACGAAGAAAGTATCGTCCAGCAAAAACACTTATTACTTTAGACTGGCCTAGTTTCTTCCCTTCCCCTGTAGAAGGACCGCAATCATCGCCTGTGGTGCATTCTCTTTTCGCTAGAGATTAAATATTGTTTTACAATATATTTGTTATTTCTATGAGTTTCCTACTATACTGTCAATTTTCAATAGGAAACGCCTGACAAATACAACATTTCGATATTTTAATTTAAAATATATATTTTTATGTATCATTAGAAGCAGGCGACGACAGAAATATTTTTGTCGGCCAAAAAAAGATAATTAAAATAAGTTAAAAAAAAAAATCTTGGTTCAAACAATAATTTACCAATTTTTCAATAGAATAGGTTTGACAGATCTTCCAATTCTAGAATAAGAAGTATTTTTTTTTCAAGAATTCTATGCTGTCGGCTAACAGAACATTTTGTAGAGCCAAAAAGGATTTTAAAAAAATAGTTTACGTTAAGCGGAAGTGATTTCTCTAAACTTCCTCAAATCTTCTTAAGTTAAATAAAACTAATGAAACTAATGGGAATGGCAACTCCAGTTCATTTGGGGAATAAACATGTTTTTACTTTCTCGTATATAAAGAAAGTATTATAATCGTGCAGATTCCTCAACAGATATTTTAACATTTTCGCCGGTTTAAATCTCGCTACTTTATCAGAGAAGGAACATAAAGCATGCACTGTAATCATATAAAAACTCTAAATAGAGATTTTGACAAACTGACGTTTTACGCCTCCCTGAGTCGGAAAAACTTTGTTTTGCAATGTTGTCTGTATGCCTGTGCAACTGTAAACACGATAACAAAAGTATCAGTACAGCTAGGTTAACGAAATTTACCAATTTACCCCCCCCCCCTATACCAAATGGGGGGGGGGGGGGTATTCAGGACATTCTTTATCAGCTAAAAAAAGTTTAAAGCAAAACAAAAGATTAACCGGGATTTTAATTGAATCAGCTTAATTTAAAATGGTGTTTTGCTATGGTGTTTTGTTACATATATATATATATATATATATATATATATATATATATATATATATATATATATATATATATATATATATATATAATGCATGGACGTTAACAATAAGTTCAAGTACCAATAATTCATGCCCCGATGCGACACAGTAAATTGTATGATAGGATATTTCGCCGTTTAAGAGTTTACAAGCCGCCGTCGGTACCCGTTACAGGCGAATTATAGGCAAATATATTTAATGTTATACTTTTTTGAGAAAAATATTTTATAAAATAGTGTTATTGGTCAAAACGCAATGTGCTTTACTAGTAGAAAATAAATTATACTCTACTATTTAAATTACTATATAAAAAAGCGTGGGTCTCTTCCTAAATATTAGTAAAGGTATCCAATAGATACTAAAGTGACCCACGATTTTCTTTGTATTACATATAAGCTTGTTATTAAAACGTTTTTTATGATTTTTTTACAAGCTTTTATTTAACTCAATTCCTCCGTCTGTCGTCAGACTAGATGGACACTTCTAACTGACAGATTTGTTTCAACGTTGGCACGTGGGTCAAGACATGAAGGCATTGCAACATGACATTAAATGTGACTTAATTGGATACCTAACGAATTTTTTAATGAATTAATTAGAATTTTGTCCAAATTATTAGGCTGTCTCATAAAACTATTCCGCTCTATTTAACACGCGTCATCACGTTTATTAGGTCCGCAATAATTTTTTAGTTATGCAAACTCTATTGCATTAACAAAGTACGGAATAAAATAAATCGTGAGTGATCTCCCCTAAACTTTCTCGAATAATCAAATATAAAACTACGAGGGATAGCAACTCTGGACATAACAATATTTGTAATCCATTTTTAATTACTTAAACTTTTTATAATATAATGGAATCTTGAAAAAAAAAGAATTGCACACCAAGTGAACGCCAAATAAAATGTGCATAATAGTGCGCAATATTATGAGAACTTTATAAATTTACATGAGTTTTTTTTTTTGAGAAATCGGAAATAGCGTAAAATAGTAACGGAAATTACTCAAAATTTGACAGAAGGTAGAGAATTAGATCTTTTACTTACATGTGAAATTTCATTTATCTATCTGAAATAGTACTCAAGTTATAGGCTTTTGAAAAATTCAAAGTAGAAAAAGTACCACTTCCGGTTATCGGAAATCGCTCAAACGTTTGAACGGATCTACGATTTTGATAAAATACTTATATATGAAATTTCATCAACCTAGCTGTAACGGTACTCAAGATATCGTGTTTACACACAGACACACAGACATACGGACAAGATTGCAAAATTATGTTTTTCCGTATCAGTGAGGTGTAAAACGTCGAGATTTGTAAAAATCTCGATTTTTTTTGCACGATTACATACTTTCTCTATACTTCGTATCTACGAGAAAGTAAAAAATTCATAAAAATCGTTTTAATAACAAGCTTTTATGTACTTATGCACTAAAAAGTAGAAAATAAATTATACTCTACGATTTAATTAACAATATTGAGCTTTAATTAATTATTAATTAAACTGGCAAAAAAGCATTTTTCTTCTGTAATTTTGCAATTTCTGCCCGGGTGTCACCCCCCTAAATGGTGTCACCCGGTGCGGCCCGCACCTCCCGCCCCGTCCATGCTACGCTTCTGTATATATATATATATAAATATATATATATATATATATATATATATATATATATATATATATATATATATATATATTTGTGTGTGTGTGTGTATCGGCCTACATAGGTCTATAATTTAAATATATCTTTTTCTCTATATACGGTATATAAAAATAAAGATAAGAATACTTCCGAGAATATTTCTGCGAAAAAGAAAACTAAAGTTTCTAATGGGCGGCGCCATGTAGGGTACACTTTTCATCAATACACGGTTTGGCGCCCAAAGTTTTAGAGCGACTATGTTTGCACTTGGCATCCGTTAATCGAGCGTCCTGCATAGCGAGTAAGGGGTACTACTATATGCAGCGGTAAAACTACAACAGGCTTCTAAAAATAACTTTGTAACGCAAGGAAATCCTTCTGTACAGTTTCGTCACCTTGCGAAAGATGAGAAAATAACTTTTTGAATATGAGGAGCCTACTTTGCGAATGATGCAATAAGCATCTATTATTAGACGATCCAGTCAGAAACTGAGATCGAGCATCTAATAATAGACCATTGGTAATGCTAGCATATTGCATCAGTCACACTGATGTTTAAAACACATCAAATAATTTTTTTTTGTGTTAAAGAAAAAAATTCTGTTCATTTGTGTCACTTTAGCGAATGACGAAATCTGCATCATTGTTCACAGGATGCTATTTCGCACGCTGGGTTATCCTATGAGCACGATGGCGCCTGTTAGTTTTAAGGAGCCAGGGGCCGTACGCTGCGCCTATGCTGGTAGTGTTATCCGGGGTTGGGGGGGGGGGGGGCTCCTGAGAGCGCTCCTCTACGTCCCTGACACATGGGTGGTCACCGAAGTGTGTTCTACCTCATTATTTCGGTGAGTGATTAATGTACACTCAAGGTTTTCATGCGGTAGTGTAGGAAAACCCGTGTCCCGATAATTATTATCCAAGCGCAGGCATTGTTTACATTTAAATAACACAGTTTTAGAAAACAAGGTCTTGCATCTAAGAACAAATGATTGGTAATACATTGGTGATATCCTTCTAATATATTTCGTCAGACTTTCTTCTATCCCCGCGGCAACGCGCGGGGGACGGGTACGCTAGTATATATATATATATATATATATATATATATATATATATATATATATATATATATATATATATATATATATATATATATATATATATATATATATATATATATATAACCCTAAACTAACTCTAAACATAACCCTAACCACAACCAGCCAGAAACGCTAATAAATCGAACATTCGCATAAACGTGGACATAAACCCTCTCCCTACCACCCTCTCGAAGGATGTCTACTCCCCCCCCCCCCCCCGTAGGAAATAAAATGTATATAGAAAAATTTTTTTTTTTTACCTGTGTTAGAGGGGTTTATACCCCCCCCCCTCCCATGGACCCCCAAAATGACTACTTTTTAAGCTACAGTTATTGACTGTCTTAATATTATTTAGGGCTCTAACACTAAACACTAAATTCTGGCAGCCTCTACAATAACAACGTATATCATTGTGATGAGAGTTGCCAGTAGAATTTAGTTACGATTTTTATTATCGCGCTAAATTAATGTATAGTAATCTAGAACGCAGTAGACCAAGGGAAAGTTGGCCAAGGTTAGATCAGTTAAGGGTGTCGAAGCGGAGGGGTGGGCTACGTGGGTAGGCGTTTGTTGTCTAATATGATTGTAATGCAACCGGAAAGGTCTAGA